AGGCGGTGGGGAAGGCATAGTTGGTTGCAACAGCCATAGTGGGCTTACGGTGTTGTGAGCGTCACTAGTCGTGAAGTGATTACATGAGGTATCGCGACGTGGATTCGAGGTGAATTAGCCTGTTTAACACTCCGTGACGCCGAAGCTGTTACCGACATAGTACTAGAGCGAGACCTCGGAGCTTTGATGGTTTTACCGAACACGTCGATGATGCAGTCGGTTCCGACACAGTTAACGTTCAGCGTGGTCATCGTAACCAGAACAAGACGATTGCGGATACTGGGCGCGCGCGCTGATAAAGTTTACTGTCCCACAAAGGGTGTGCTGCATGTGGAATCCGAACACTTGGGATTGAACTAGTCTTACTTGAGCAACCTGCTGAGACAAATTGATGTAGGCCGGGTGTCCATCGTGCCTAGACAGGGCATGGATTGAGAGTTGGCTAAAATGCAGGTCCACGCGGTCTTGTCAGGAGTTGTACATAAGTGAAGAATGATTCACTGTAACCGCCTAGAAAGCTGACAATAAGCATTGGCGGAAAAGGTACTCACCGAAAGAGGGGGGGCCACCGTATCCATGTGGTTCGAGTCACTGCAATTGTGACAGGCGAGACTCCACTGCGCCGCAGAAATCCGCAGAGAATAGCAGAAGCGCGTCAGACGCGAGTGTCTATCTCGAAGCAGATTGAACCGAATAGCCTGAATAGATCTACAACTCGTCTAGAACGTTGACTGCCTGTTAGCCGCCTTGGTCAAAACCATGAACCGACAAGGGAGTAGGGGAGATCGCAAAAATACGTTAAAATCATTAGACCTGCCAGTTCTACTTGAGGGTAAATTAAGTCCAAACTCCCAAAGCTATTTCCAGCCACCATACGGGCGCTAGGTGGGACACGGCTTAAACTCTGCGCCGCTGTGCAGGCTATTTGCACTGCAGGCTATGCCGCCATTATCATGACGGATTTTGTGCATTTCACTAGCGTGCTTCGCCTCCGTGCCTCCGTAGAGAATGAATCAGCTCCTCTGCTCTACGACATCTCGTAGATTCAGCCAGTTGCGCTAACGACCACTCAACGATGACGCTCGTATGTCTCCGACCTGCGGTCGACGTGCATCGGTGAGCGACGGCGGTACCCACACCTCTGACAGCTTTTCGATCCAATCTGTTTTCGCCAAAATTTTTACTAACGGTCTGCCTCATTCCGGTGCCCAGGTAGGTGGCTTTCTGGAACGCAAGCCCAGGACTAGAAGAGGCCGAAACAACGACTCTTCGTTCATCATTTCTGGTGAGCCATTCTCATTCACGAGGCGAATTAGATTTTGTAGCTGCAATGATCCGGCTGGTCTATCCTCTTTAACTTTGAGCGCATGGCGGGCCCGAATGACTTGTCCGACATTTCCGTGGTCAATGCTATTAGCATGTTGAGCCCACACCTCTGTCGCGCGTATGGTTGCCTGAGTTTCTCGACAAATTGAACAGCTATTATTACATCCTAAACGGTTGTTATGCGCTATAGACTAGTTATGTGCTGCGATCCCAGGTTGGTGGTGAAACAAGCGCTCGAAGCATCAAATCTGACAGTGCACCAGTGCAGACAGATTTTGAAGAATTTATTCTCCACAGTATCAGCAAGAGGAAAACGGTAATACATACAGGAGAACGAAAGTTTTGTTCAGGAGGGACCAACCATCTGACTCAGGAGAACCAAGTCTCCCAAGTCAGGAGAACACAAATGCACGGTCTTCAGTGACCAGCTTATCATTATGTCCCATGTTGCCACTGAAGGCCCTGGCACCTTTCCGGCTTTCACTGCCCATTCACCGCTCACGCTAGCCTAACTCGTCACGACTTGGTTTGGCTGGCTTAGTCTCTTGCCTCCATAGCATCTGGGCGCAACTGTCTATCGGATCATTGCTGTACTCATGACGAATGCGCGCCCTTTGTGCGCCGGCCTAGAGAGCTCGGTATAAATTCTGTAGAGGTCGCAATGGCTCTTCTTCACCACTCCGAACTTTCCAGGAGTCACTCCCCGTTCAGCTCCTTCTAAGTCTTACTTTTCATCTATTTTGCGGCAATGAAGCTGCTTCCAATACTCTCGGCAATCGCTTTGTCGATTCGTCAAGCGCAAGCTTCCATTGGGCCTGTCACTAATCTCCATATTGTCAATGCTAACATTGCACCAGACGGCTTCAATCGCTCTGCCGTTCTTGCTGATGGAACATTTCCAGGACCTACAATTGCGGGTTATAAAGTGCGAGGGACTTATCATCCGTCACATTTTTCTATGATCTCATGACGGCTTGCATCCTAGGGAGACAATTTTAGGATTAATGTACAGAACTCCCTGACCGATCATACAATGAATAAGACAACTTCGATCGTGAGTCGCGCATACCTTTTCGAGAAACGTTGTCTGACTTTATGCATCTTACAGCACTGGCACGGTCTTTTCCAGCACGGAACTAATTGGGCCGATGGTCCTGCAATGGTTACTCAATGTCCAATAATCTCGGGGGATTCATTCCTGTACGACTTCAACGTCCCAGATCAGGCCGGCAAGTGTCTCAAATTTTGTATTTGGTCTATCATAAAGATTAACCCTAATGCAGGGACATTCTGGTACCATAGCCATGAAGGGCTTCAGTATTGTGATGGCTTGCGAGGGCCATTCATTGTGTACGACCCTTTCGACCCACATGCAGATCTGTACGATGTCGATAATGGCAAGTATCGCGTTCCTCTTCATTCTTCATTGCTAAAATATCGTACTAGAAAGCACAATTATCACGCTATCGGACTGGTACCACGTCCCCGCTGTGCAAGTCCCCATTCCTGCGTACGTACATTCGGATGAGTCTGCTAGGAGAAACATGCATACGACCTAACTACGTTTAGAAATCCGGACTCTGTTTTGATCAACGGATTAGGCCGTATGGCGGGTGACACAACTTCCCCTCTGTCTGTCATAACTGTGACCCAAGGATTACGGTGAGTTGTATATGAAACATCTGAGATTCTTTCTCAATGGGCAAACAACAGCTATCGGTTCCGACTCATTTCCATGTCCTGTGATCCATTCTTCAATTTCACTATCGATGGCCACGACAATTTCACAATAATAGAAGCTGACGGCGAGAACACTGTTCCATTATCTGGAATCGACTCTATACAGATTTTCGCTAGCCAACGTTATTCGTTCATTGTAAGCTTCAACGTATTCATCTTCTGAACGACTCATGACTTTTTTTAGCTGGAAGCCAATCAACCGATTGGAAATTATTGGATTAGAGCTGCACAAGAAACCCTTGGTACTCCAGTGCCGCAATCTGGCATGGCTATCCTCCGTTATGAGGGTGCTCCTGATGCTTACCCTGAGACTGATGCAACGCCATCTCAATTTCCCCTCTTTGAACCCGACCTACATGCCCTTACCGACCCAACACCCGTGCGTACCGAATTATTATGCATGTGGCGGAAGTACTTATTGTATTGTATTCCAGCCCGGATTGCCAACCTTAGATGGCGTAGATGTAGATCTCAATTTGGACGTTACTTTTGTGCGCAGCTCAATCTACCAGGTTGTTATTTTCTGACCCCGTCTTCTCGAATTCGGCAGAACACTACAGACGGACGGTTCTTCGTGAATGGACATACCTTCATCTCGCCCCCCATTCCCGTTCTTCTCCAAATACTGAGTGGCCACTACACTGCTCAGGATTTGCTTCCCGAAGGAAGCGTCTACACTCTCCCGCGAAACAAAAGCGTCCAGCTTACCATTCCTGGTGGCGTCGTGGGCGTTAGGCACCCGGTGCATTTACATGGCGTGCGCATTTATAAAACAGTGGCGTGATGGCACACTCACAAGTATCCTCAGCATTCATTCTCTGTCGTCAAGAGTGCCGGTACTGGCCTTTCGGGCAGTGGCTACAACTTCGTCAATCCGGTTCGCCGAGATGCTGTTAACATTGGCTTGGCCGGTGACAACGTTACTATCCGGTTTGATGTGCGTTAACATTGGCTTGGCTTGTTTTTCAATCGCTAATATATGTATCGAAAATGCCTAGACAAATAACCCAGGACCGTGGTTTTTCCATTGTCATATTGATTTCCACTTGTACGCTGGGTTTGCTATTGTCTTCGCAGAGGATCCCCAAGATACTCCATTTGTTGATACCCCTCCTCGTAAGCATCCATGCATATCCCTATAAAAGATTATCTCATTGCTTTCTCAGTGGCCTGGCAAGAGCTATGTCCCAAATACGACGCACTTCCCCCCTGGGATACGTGATTCAATTTGCGCTAGGGATTCGACCAGACTCATGCGACTCGATACACTTTCCGATGGGCTGTAATATTGAGGTCATTTTTGGAACGCAATCATGCGCGGACTTGCAAGGGAAACTTTAGGTAATTATCTATATTCTGATTGGCAGTAATTAGTTTACTACGTTTACGTACATATTTAACGCCATCTCAGGCTGCTCGCTATTAATATTTATGTACTGTCGGTGGCTCTGGCACTTGTAGCTCATCCCACTCTTCGAATGTGCTCATTCTTATATATCATATACTACTTCATTTTTAAATGCATACACGGAATCTGATTGAATGCTAGGATCGAAAGAGGTCGCGAGTCTCGCGTCCTAGTCGCGAGCTGATCCGAGATAGTGGCAAGTCTTGAATGGGTACATCAGGATGAAATCGAATCGTGCTTCAAGCGCAAGGACTAGCGATGTATGCAAGCGGTCACATATTACCCTAACCTCAATATGATAGCACAGAACTTGAATGTTGCGGCGCGAACGAAGTCGCATCCATCAACTCGAGTTGCCGAAACGCCATTCACTGCCACGTGCCGTACTTGTGCTTGCGACGCTTCAAACTTCAGCAAGCCAGTTGTCAAACCGCGGTTTTCATCGTAACTTGTAAGGGCTCCCGTTTCAACGATTGCGTATAGTGTCTACTCGAGGTATTTTTCTCTTGCACGGTACGCATCGTTTCCGATGCGCTACATAACAGCCATATTCTCAGTACCAAGCCTTTCAGGCTATCGCGGCGGCCACTGTCGACAACAGTGAAACAAGCGGTTCATGGCGCCCGTTAATACCGGTCTCTGTTACCTGTCCTCCCGATCCTTGATCATTGTACAAAACCTCAAGGCCTCATGACAGCTTTCCCGCAGGGAATGGACCGAAACAACGTTGAACTCGATGTTGCCTGCCGCCTCTCTCAACGAAGCCGGGTAAGTGGTTTCGTATCCAGACGTGTCTAAGCGTCTTCTAGACGTCTGGGTGCAAGACTACGGGTAAGGACCGCGTCTGAGCTGAATTGAAAACATTGTGCTTATGTGCGAACTGATTCGAACTTAATTCGCTACTTACGCATATGGATCCAACGTGGCCCAGAGACTTCAAGCTGCCTTCAAGGCACCAAAATAAAAATCGCCGGGAGGCGGACACCGAACGAGAAGAAATGCGGATCGCCTGCTATGCAGTGCGCCTGCTGATTGGCCCGGGAAGCATTTCGAAATTAGGTCTTTTCCGAGAATCCGACCCCTCATTTGACAGTAAATACGACCCAGATGACCTCGCCCCGAGTGAGACTAGCACAACGTGACCTGAGTAGGTGGGGCGCCATTTTTGGGAACCGAAAATATCGCGATTTTATGGTCGACATCGACGGGCATGGTGTTCGAATCATCCTAGAAGGCGGCGTCATTCCTTGAGAACGGACAGTTCAATGATAGATAGAAGTATATTCGTTGACAATCGATCCACATATTCACACCACTTCGGCGTCATTTCTAGCACAGCACACGGCAAGTACCAAGTAGAATGTTTCGAGCTCCAGCTCCGCCGATCTGTGGTCACTAGGCTATGGATCACGCTAATTAGTGCATGTGGCTGATGCTCGGGCGATGGCGCCCTTGATCATTTCCCCATATTCGACACATACGCGATGCGGTGCGTGTTCTATTTTCGACCTCACAGAAGTCCGAGTACAAATGTCGCAGACGTCATTAACCGTCCACATCCTGGCTCCCTTGAAGGTCCCCGCTCATTTAACTATTCTCTGCGCTGTAATATTTTGAATAAGTTACGACTATGTTACTTCTCGCCCTAGCAGCAGGGGTTCTGTTGGTTCAAGCTAGACGTTCGTCTATTGGACCTGTTGCCGAGCTGGCACTTGTGAATGCCAACGTTACCCCAGATGGTTTCACCCGCCTTGCCGTCCTGCCCAATGGACTCTTGCCTGGACCTCCAATTACAGGATACAAAGTGCGTATAGTTTCTTGGTTCCTGTTGTCCCATGCATGCCCTTTGTTGAGATTATTTCAGGGGGACAATTTCAAAATCAATGTTCATAATTATCTGACAGACCATACTATGAATGAGACCGCAACCGTCGTGAGTTGGCTCCTCGTTATCCAGAATGCAGCTAACATTTTGGCATGCCAGCATTGGCACGGTATTTACCAGCATGGGACTAATTGGGCAGACGGGACTTCCATGGTTAGCCAGTGCCCGCTGACTTCTGGAGATTCGTTCTTGTATGATTTCTCCGTACCAGACCAGGCCGGTAAGTACCGAATTACTTGTACCCATTTCTTCGCGGTAACGATTTAGTACAGGCACGTTTTGGTATCATAGCCATGAAGGGTTGCAGTACTGCGATGGATTACGTGGTCCGTTCATTGTGTACGATCCGCACGATCCCCACAAGGACTTATACGACGTCGACGATGGTTGGTCGTACATGGTCGCCATTCGTCGCTATGCTAATATCTAGTACAGACAACACCATAATTACTCTCTTCGACTGGTATCATGAGCCGGCGCTCGAGATTCCCCTCTTCGGGTACGTCCCATAGGACTACATTCCTTGTCTTCTTCGAAAGCTTAGGCCTTGTTCATCGGTAGAAATCCTGATTCAATATTGATCAATGGAATGGGACGTTCGCTGAACGATTCAGTTTCTCCGCTATCAGTGATTACCGTCACGCCGGGATTGCGGTGAGTGATAAATGCATGAAATCTAGAACCTCTTCTGAGCGACGCAAAGCTATCGTTTCCGGCTTATTTCCATGTCCTGCAATCCATATTTCAATTTTACCATTGATGGCCATAACTTTACAATCATCGAAGCCGATGGTCAGAACACTCAGCCCCTGCCCGGGATCAACTTCGTTCAGATACATTCTGGCCAACGCTATTCCTTCATTGTATGTCTACCTTTTGTCGCCGCCTTTGCGGTTTCTGAACGCATCGTAGCTTGAGGCCAATCAACCTATTGCAAACTACTGGATAAGGGCACCAGCAGAGTCAGAATCTCTCAGCCCTACACCACCTCCGCAACCTGGCATGGCTATTTTACGGTACAGGGGCGCCCCAGAGGTGGAACCTGAAACAAAATCAGAACTGGTTCAATACCCATTGATCGAGACCAATCTCCATGCTCTTACTAATCCGGCAGCGGTATGTCCTACATTATATAGTACATAGAGGGAAGGCACTCATGGGGTTTCTTCCTTCTCAGCCTGGAGTGCCTACCATAGATGGCGCTGATGTAGATATCAACCTAAATGTTACTTTTGTGAGTCGTGTTGTATTCCATATTAGCTTGCTCTCATTTTTACCCGCAGAATCTCACCGAGTTAACGTACTACGTGAACGATTACACCTTTGCCAAACCCCCGGTTCCTATTTTGCTTCAGATCTTGAGTGGTAAATATGCTGCTCAGGATCTGCTCCCTGCTGGAGCCGTATACACTCTTCCACGGAACAAGACCATCCAAGTTACGATGCCTGGAGGTGTTTTCCCTGCCCAGCACCCAATGCACTTACACGGCGTGCGTACGCATCATAAAAGTACTACCCAATGACTGACATATACCTCAGAGCTCTTTTTCAGTGATTAAGAGTGCCGGAACCGGACCTGCAGACGTTGGCTATAATTTCGTGGACCCCGTGCGCAGAGACACAGTCAACATCGGTTTGGCAGGCGACTTTGTGACGATTCGGTTCGATGTGAGTCGTTGGCAATGCACTTGTCGAAGTATTACGAAATCGCTCATTCAAACCACGCAGACACATAATCCGGGACCGTGGATGCTGCATTGCCATATTGATTTCCATTTATACATGGGGTATGCAATCGTCTTTGCTGAGGATCCTGAAGACACAAGACATGTCAACCATCCTCCTCGTGAGCTATTTCTGCTGTTGTGCTTCCGTCTGAATTCTTCTGACGAGTTTCTCAGCTGCTTGGAACGAACTATGCCCAAAATACGATACCCTGCCCCCTGCAGACACTTGATACGACAAGACATTGCATGTTTTACTTTCCGGGTCGGGTTACCGTCATTCTTGTCTGAGAATATGCCAATGAGCATAAGGATATGCATGTATCGTTGTACAAACACTGCCTAGAGTTTAGCTGCTGTGACATGTATAATTTCGAGTTCTCGATGTCTAGTCGTGTACTGTACTTACGTCTATAAAGTATCCTGGTGCTACTTCGTATTCATTGTGTATGCGTATCGGTGTGGTTTGGCGCGGTAGTGTAAATGTCGGCGCCAACCGTTGCACCGATTAGATAAGGTTTGTATGGTCGATAAGCTTGGGTACCGATCTAAGCATAATAGCGTCTGGCTTGATCGTGACGACCACTGCGCTCCGCGCAATGACTTCGCCTCTCAACCTCGACGAAGAGGTGCGCCTATATACAACAAATGCAGAGCGCGAGAAGTATGGCCTTCTGGCGACGCTCTTTGGCATCATCGTTGCTCTCGACTACCTCGAGAGAGCCTATGTGCGCGACTCGGTGACTGCGGCGGAGTAAGCCCTTCTATAGCGCATAGCCGTGGCATGACAACTGAGCTATGCTGGATGAAGAGGTATTCTCCGGCGTGCACGCGATTGCTGTCCCAGTACAAGACTATGCTGAAGTTGGTAGGGGATGCAGTTCCGTCCATTGATGAGTTCATGAGTCGATACAGGGTGCGCCTGTTAATATACATGGGGGAGAATGCTGATGCTGATTATGTCTTTGCAGATGGACCACCCCGCTGCTTTGCATAGAGTTAAGGTTGGCGTACCCGCGACAGTTGAGCACTCCAGTGAAGCAGGACCTGAGACCGGCAAATGGGTGGCGGAGACGACACAAGTATGTCCCCTTTTCAGTTTTGGGCTATAGTCTAAATGCATTCATGTACTGCGCAGAGTTTTATTACCTTCATGGATGCATTAAAACTGCGAATGCGCGCCAAGGATCAGCTGCATCCCATTCTTCAGGAACTGGTCACTGGTTATGCCAGATTTAAGGGTAGCAAAGACTGGGAAGGGAGAAGTAAGATGGTCAGCTGGTGGGTTGCTACTACCCCGCTTTATCCAGTTCATGTCACCGAACCAATCTACACCAGGCTCATCACACTAAACGGCATGAAAGCGTCGGAGGAGATTACGGAGGAGCAATCGAGACAGGTAAGTCAGTCATTCAATGCCACGGAGACTAATTGTTCATATTATATTGAAGTTGCTATTTGACATCGAGCATGCTTACGCAGAGTTCTTCCGGAGTTTAAGTAGCAAAGAGAGTGGATCATGACTGGATGACCTAGTTAGCCTACTAGTAGTAGTATACTGTATATTGTACTTGACGATATGCCATATGTTCATCGGTGCTTTTTTGGGCTTCGGTGATTGTGAGTCGTGATGGACCTAGCAAATGATAGTAGAAGCTACCCACAGCATCTAAGTATGACCATCGCGATGCGCAGCAGCGACGCCTTGACCTTGATCTCCCCTTACGACGGCATCTCACTGAGTCTTTGCTACTGTTTCGTACACTGGCAAGCCACGACCACCAGCACTGGCACAAATCAGAGTCGCTACTTGCGTATCAAACTCACTCCACGTCTTTCATCTCCAATCGTATTGCGAGCTGTAACGCAGACCCATGGTGTCCGCCCACAACCCTTTCCGCACTCCGGCAGTATCGCCAAACCCTACAGGCACTCTAGCCCCAGCTGTCCCAGCGACCTTCTCGTTGGAAGTGCCTGAGGATGCGGAGGGCATGCCAGGCTATCTACGGACGTCGCCCCCAGCAGCATCGACCCCTGCTCGAACTCCATCGCCTGCTTCGTCCGCAGCAGACCCGTCACGATCCACACAATCACTTTCTTTGCTGCCACCTGATGATGACATTATTTCTGAGGAGCTCCCTCCTGCATACACACCTACGCCGGACGTGGTGCATGGCGAGTCCACTATTGAACTCGGCCCTAGGAGACCTTTCCAGGCACCTCCTGGTATCCCTCGCCAGCACCAGCTTCGTCCGCAGCATATAGGATGGCAGGTATCGCAGTCGACTGGGTCGTCTAGCTGGTCCAGCTTCCCAGGCGGGCGTCATGGTTCTCCAGCGGCTCCCAGCGTAGCCCCTCCTCCGCAGCACCCATCCCTGAACCGCGGTCGTCCGAGTACTGCACCCAGCCAACCTCCGGGGCCGCTGTCAGACTTTGCCCGAGAGTTCTACGCGGCAGGTGCGGAATTCCCCAACGGACAGACGGAGGCGTCGTCCAGTTCTGGTCCGTCGGCCTCGCAGAGCAGACCTAATGTCCTCGACGATGGACGGCCAACCGAGGTGCCCACGCCGGGGCATCCACTGCTCCGCCATGGCCAGGTTCTCGTGTACCCCGAAGCGTATGAGTGTGGCAAATGTGAGTGGAGCCGCTACTTTCACCCCATTCACGGCTGAGCGTCGCCCACTGCCCAATTACCTCGCCAGGCCGAAACATAGGCTACCGGAACAACGACCCCTCTATGCCGTGTTCCAAATGCTGGGAGAAGTATGCGCGGCCATTCACGGGTGCGGTGACATATGCCCCCTGGGGCGCTCCTGCGACGGGGTCCGCCTCCGGCTCTCGCAACACCTACCAGCGCCCCCTCCCCCGCTTCACCCCGCCGCACCTCTCCGCGCCCTCGAAACACCGCCCCACTCAGTCCTACTCCGGCCTTTCGGCAGAGCCTCCGCTTCCCCCGCGCTCGGTATCGCACAACCGAGTGCAAAGCGCGCCGCGCCTCGTCCCTATTGCAGGAGGGGGCATCCCTTACTTAGGGTCGTCTGTGCCGTCCAACGTGCGCGTCACGTCTGCCGCTCCC